TGAACCCGGAGCACTTTCCGTCGCTGGAGCAGGCAACGGCCCCGACGTCGGCCCCTGGCGAGGGCTCCTCGGGGTCGCTCTGGCAGCCCTCGTCGCCTAGAGAGTTCTGCTTGCTGAGCTTTGGTGCCAACAGCTTAACAAGCTCAGGGAGGTGGAAGAACTCAGCCTCCCGCTGCAGCCGTCCTCGCTCCGGGAAATGGTCCGGAAGGACGAGCTGCCGGTCTCGCATGTAATCCAGAATATAACGGAACAGGAATCCGTCTCTGTCGACGAAATAACGGCCCTTGGTGTCGCGCGCCAAGCTCTCGGTGCTCTTCTGGCTGAACATCTCCCACAGGAGGGAGTCCGGCACACTTGTTAAAGTCGAGTAGCGGGTGATATACACCTGACCCCCGACGTTCAGCTCGATAATTTCCGGAAAAGCCAGTTCCTGGACAGGAAGGCTAATAGCATTGTCAGGTAAAGCCATGTTTACTAAAGATAAGATAATACTTAGTTAAAGTTTTACAAAAAGTCAACTTGGGAACAGAAATGTACACTAAATGTGAGCCGAGTTTAAAATATCAATACTGTAGTGTCAGATATATCCCAGTGAACTGACTGTACGCCTCCAGTTCACCATCACAGCCGCAAAACACCATTTACGCATTATAATGATCCTTCAGTAATGGGTTTTAAAAATGTAAATTGCGCACACGTGGCTCTGAAACGCTCACCGATGTCAAACGCTGCCGAGCAAAAACTGGCTTTTCAGATGATGTCCCTTTCATTCGTCTATAATCGAAGGTCCCAGACATATAGACAACGTCCAGTTCACACGAACCTACCGTGGGTGCCGTCTAAAGAGCCCTCTGTGAGCGCGTGTCAGGTGTTGTCAGGTAATGTGCACCGGAGAAACGATGGCTCTGCGCTCTGCAACCGGACCATAATCTCCCCGAGCCGGCCACGCCCCTGCGCTGCGGCGTCATCAGCGCTAGCCCCGCCCCCGCCTCATCCGCACACACTCCAGAGACTCGTTTCTGCACCTAGTGCTCTTCAGTGCCATTTCTTATTCTTTATTGTCTCTACAATACAACACATTCTGAGGCATTTCATACAGCTTTGTTTACTTTGTGATTTATGAAGAACGAAGGCTAATTACTTA